ACGGAGAGATTTACAACCATGAAGAGCTACGAGGACAATTTCCTAATCATGTTTTTAAGACAGGCAGTGATTGTGAAGTTATCACTCATCTGGTGAGATATTTCAACCTTATAACTTTGTCACATGGTGATCATTGTGTTATCATTGGAATAAGCAAGAGTTATGGGGCACTCAAGCTGTCAATTTTTAACTGAACAACTTGGTTTACAATTGTTCTCTTCCTTAGTACGAGGAATTTGAGGAAGATTTTCTGGATATGTTAGATGGAGTCTTCTCATTTGTTTTGTTAGACACCCGACACAACACCTTCATAGCTGCGCGTGATGCCATTGGAGTCACACCCCTCTATATTGGATGGGGGCTTGATGGTACTTGCAAAACTATCTTATTTCTCTTGTTGAAAAAAAATATGTATGTTTATTTCTATAGCACTCTGCAACATGTCCATGACATAAAGATCTTTCACTTTTACTTTACTGACTATTTTAATGTGTTTTGTTTAAGGTTCTGTTTGGATGTCATCTGAAATGAAAGGACTGAATGATGATTGTGAAAACTTCAAGGTCTTCCCTCCCGGACACTTGTACTCCAGCAAAACAAGAAGCTTGAAGAGATGGTACAACCCACCTTGGTACTCCGAAACTGTTCCATCAGCTCCATATGATCCCCTTGTTCTGAGGAAGGCATTTGAGAAAGTAATTGCAAGTTTCAATTTTATAGCAGATTAACTTGAACACCTTGAATAAATTTGTTATGTTTCTTCTATGATTAGCATATCATACAAGAGGAATTTCTAATCACTTTTGTTAAATATCCCAGACATTTTATGCCAGGCTTGCCAGCTATATGGCACAAGTAATATGAAGTTAATGCTTTTTTCAATGATCTACAATGCAAAATTTCTATATTATGCAGGCGGTCATCAAGAGGCTCATGACAGATGTTCCATTTGGAGTTCTACTGTCTGGTGGCCTTGATTCATCCCTAGTTGCTGCTGTTACAGCTCGGCACCTTGGAGGAACTAAAGCTGCAGATATATGTGAAAACCAACTCCATTCCTTCTGTATTGGTTTGGAGGTGATGACAATCTCTTGCATTTTTTTCGTTCAATCATTTTCCAATAACTAATTATTTTAGATGTCATATTTATCTTTGTTGGGGAAATTACCCACTAAACCAGAGAATAGTAGAGACAATCACAAACACAATAATTACGTGGTTCGATCAAATTGATCTACGTCCACGGCAAGAGGGTGTATCACTATATTCAATCTCAACATACAACACTCATACAAAATATTGAGAGCTCACAGATTTCTTGTGTGGCTTTCTCTCTCTTTTTCTCTCAATCACTCTCTGCTGGTTTGGAGTTTTGGAGTGTATTTCACAGAGGAAGAGAGGGGGGGTTTTATAGCTTCCATGCCCTCTCTTTTGTCAACAAATTCGGCACCTCCCCCTCTCTCTTGATGTCAACAACGGAGGCTGTTGTTGCGTCTCTAGCTCCCCCTTTCTCTTGATGTCAACAACGGAGGCCACCGAAAGTTTGTTGGCCTCAATTGTTGACTAACAATCTCCACCTCGGTGAAGTTTTCCCAAAAACTGAGCCGACACCAATAACTAGTGAGTCTTCACCCATCTTGCAAACAATGCCCCAAAAGGGGCCACTTAACAAGTGCGAATGCCTCCCAAATTCAAGCAGTGCTTGAACTTGAAGGCCGGGATCGGTTTGGTCAACATGTCAGCTGGGTTGTTTGCAGTACCTATCTTTTTCATCGTGATGTTTCTTTCAGCAGTTGCCTCACGAATGAAATGATATCTGACATCAATATGCTTTGTCCTCTCATGATGTGCTGAGTTTTTGCTTAGATGTATTGCGCTCTGATTGTCGCAAAATACAACTGAACTAGCCTCCTGCTGTAGTCCAAGCTCACTCACGAGATTTCTCAACCAAATGGCTTCTTTTACCGCTTCTGCTGCTGCCATGTATTCTACCTCTGTGGTAGACAAAGTAACTGTCGACTGTAGAGTCGATCTCCAACTAATAGCTGAGCCAGAAAGAGTAAAAAGATAACCAGTCAAAGATCTCCTTTTATCGAGATCACCTGCATAGTCAGAATCTACAAAACCTACAACTGAGGTTCCCAAAGTACTGCTATCAAAAACTAAACCCAAATCTGAGGTACCCCTGAGATACCGTAGGATCCACTTCACTGCTTTCCAGTGTGCCTTCCCTGGTTGAGCCATGTATCTGCTCACTACACTGACTGCCTGGGCAATGTCTGGACGAGTGCAAATCATAGCATACATAATGCTACCCACTGCATTAGAGTATGGAACTCGGGACATCTCCTTCTTCTCGTTCTCACTTGTAGGTGAATCTGATCTTCTTTGCTGCACCAAGATCTTTCATCTCAAACTCATCACTGAGTTGTTTCTTCAAAATAAGAATCTGCGACATGTTCTTAGCAGCAATAAGCATGTCATCGACATATAATAGAAGATAAATAAAAGAATCATCTCCTAGATGCATGTAGTACACACAACTATCATAAGTACTTCTTGAGTACCCATGACTAAGCATAAAATTATCAAACCTCTTGTACCACTGTCTGGGAGATTGCTTCAGGCCGTACAAAGATTTCTTCAATCTGCAAACTTGATCTTCTTTACCTTCTACGAAGTATCCCTCTGGCTGAGACATGTAGATAGTCTCCTCAAGTTCGCCATGCAAGAATGCAGTCTTCACATCAAGCTGCTCAAGCTCCAGATCAAATAGAGCAACCATGGCAAGCAATACACGGATGGAGGTATGCTTCACAACCGGAGAGAACACTTCATCATAGTCAATTCCCTCCTTTTGTCTATAACCCTTAGCCACCAACCGTGCTTTGAATCTAGCATCTTCAACCCCTGGGATCCCTTCTTTCTTCTTGAAAATCCACTTGCATCCAATTGCCCTTTTACCCTTAGGTAATTGCACCAAATCCCAAGTCTGAAACTGGTGTCAGAGCTTCTCGGTTCTAGGACAGCTTTCAATCCTCCACAATGGCTTCTGTGAAGTTCTCGGTGTCGATCTTTGATGGCCAAAATAATTTCGGCCTATGGAGGATAAAGATGAAGGCTTTGTTGCGACGTGAAGGCACGGTCAAGCTCTAGCGGACTTCTTAGTTCATCATCCAATATCAGATTCTTCCAGATTATATGAGGACTTACCAGATGAAGTCACCGAAGCTTGTGTAACTCTAGAGGTCGTACAAGTATGGAAATTGTTCTTTGACGGTGTGTCTAGAGCAAATCCTAATGGAGGAATTATCGCTGGTGTGGAGGTGGTACTTGTATCCCTAAGTGGTCATGTAATCCCAAGAGGATTCTCTCTAATCGAGCCATGCACCAACAATATAGCAGAGTACAGCGCTTTGCTATTAGAGATGCAATTGGCCGAGGAGCTTAATATTCGACACCTTGAGGCTTATGGTGATTCTCAGCTCATTGTGAATCAAGTCCGAAGAGAATATGAAGTACGTAATGAGGACTTAGTCCAATACCACTTCGTTGTGCTAGAGCTAGCCTAGAAGCTTGAAGGTTTTTTTATTGGATACATCCCACGAGTCCAGAATGCATATGCGAACGCTCTAGTCTCGCTAGCAACTTCATTGATATTGCCACCAAAAACAAAGACAAGGATAGTCATGGGTCGTGAATTGTATCACCCCAAGTTCCCCTTAGAAGACTGCTCAAATGAGATAACGATGGAGATTGCATGTGCGTCACAAGAAAGGGCATTACAAGTCAGAATGCTATGCTCTAAAAAAGAAAGACAACCAGCGTGGTGAAACATCAGATTCAGCTAATACGGTAAAGGCTGATACTGCCGTTGTTGCTGAGACGGTTCTTACAGTATGTCCCTTGGATGGCCGTTCCGATAAAGAATGGATCTTGGATACAGGTGCGTCTTTTCATATGTGTCCAAATAAAGATTGGTTCACTACTTACAGATCTATAAGTGGTGGATCAGTTTTGATGGGCAACAATGCAGTTTGCAAGACAGTTGGCATTGGTACAGTTCGCATCCGGTGTCACGATGGGATAGTGAGAACTTTATCAGATGTGAGACACATCCCAGACTTAAAGAAAAATCTGATTTCTTTGAGTTCTTTGGATTCTATTGGGTGTTCTTACACTGGCGAAGGTGGAGCTCTTAGAGTTACTAAGGGTTCATTGGTTGTGATGAAAGGTAGTAAGGTGAACAGTCTTTATGTTCTCCAAGGCAGTACGGTGACAGGCTCTGCAGGTGTGTCTTCTGATGCTGATAGAGACACTACTCAGTTGTGGCACATGCGCTTAGGCCACATGAGTGAGAAGGGAATGACTATTTTGAGTAAACGTGGCTTACTCTGTGGTGATCATACATCATCACTGGATTTCTGTGAGCATTGTGTGTTTGGGAAGCAAACTCGGGTCAGCTTCTCGACTGGCTCACATACGACGAAGGGCACTCTCGACTACATCCATTCAGATTTGTGGGGACCTGCTCAGGTTCCATCCAAAGGTTTATTGTGTTTGTGATTGTCTCTACTATTCTCTGGTTTGTTGGGGAAATTACCCACTAAACCAGAGAATAGTAGAGACAATCACAAACACAATAATTACGTGGTTCGATCAAATTGATCTACGTCCACGGCAAGAGGGTGTATCACTATATTCAATCTCAACATACAACACTCATACAAAATATTGAGAGCTCACAGATTTCTTGTGTGGCTTTCTCTCTCTTTTTCTCTCAATCACTCTCTGCTGGTTTGGAGTTTTGGAGTGTATTTCACAGAGGAAGAGAGGGGGGGGTTTATAGCTTCCATGCCCTCTCTTTTGTCAACAAATTCGGCACCTCCCCCTCTCTCTTGATGTCAACAACGGAGGCTGTTGTTGCGGCTCTAGCTCCCCCTTTCTCTTGATGTCAACAACGGAGGCCACCGAAAGTTTGTTGGCCTCAATTGTTGACTAACAATCTTCCGGCCATAAATATGCTTACCTTTTCTTGCAGGATTCACCAGATTTGAGGGCTGCAAAAGAGGTTGCCAATTATTTAGGCACAATTCACCATGAGTTCCACTTCACAGTTCAGGTACTTGAAATAATAGTAATATTTTCATACAAGTTGTCTTCAATTGAGATGGAGTACAAAGCTTAGCAGTCATTGAATTTCTATTAAATTTCCAGGATGGTATTGATGCCATTGAGGATGTAATCTACCACATTGAAACATATGATGTTACCACCATCAGAGCAAGTATCCCCATGTTCCTCATGTCTCGTAAAATCAGGTCATTAGGAGTGAAGATGGTAATCTCTGGGGAAGGTTCAGATGAGATTTTTGGAGGATATTTATACTTTCATAAGGCACCTAACAAGGAGGAGTTCCACCAGGAGACATGTAGAAAGGTATGTTATTTGTTCTTCTAGAATGAGGTTGTTAGAATCTCCTTATCAGTATAGCACTACCCCATCATGGTCCTGGTTGATTTTGAGTATGTATGTTGCTGATTTGACTCATAGATCAAAGCTCTCCATCTATATGATTGCTTAAGAGCGAATAAAGCCACCTCGACATGGGGGTTGGAACTTCGTGTGCCATTTTTAGATAAAGAATTCATTGATGTCTCTATGAGCATTGACCCAAAATGGAAAATGGTAAGTTAAACTTGACTAGTTACCGTACTTTGAATTTCATAGGATGGCTGATAAAGATAAGCAATTTCTCAATAAAATAATCTGGCTCTCTAACTCGGGAAGTCGTCATCAGATCAATCCTGATTTGGATCAGATCGAGAAGTGGGTATTGAGAAAAGCTTTCGAAGATGAGGAGAACCCCTACCTCCCAAAGGTCACTTTCAATCCTCTTAAATACTTATAGTCCTCAACTATTGTCATGAGCTAAAATAACATGTACTTGATACATTAAATAGACAAAATAATATACATCACTTTCTGTTAAAATACTGAAGAGACTGAGAAACATTGCACGTCTCCTTCTGCAGCATATTCTCTATCGGCAAAAAGAGCAGTTTAGTGATGGTGTTGGTTATAGTTGGATCGATGGACTGAAGACCCATGCGGCGGAGAATGTAATTTCAGAACTTCCCTTAGTTAATTTTTTATTTTCCCAAAAAAAATTGTTGATTTTTTCTATTAATTGCTATGTACCTTTCATGTTTTCTGTCTGGAGCTAGCCTATCTCATTTCTTTACTACGTCATCATAGGTGACGGACAAAATGATGTTAAATGCTGTGAATATTTATCCACACAATACACCATCCACTAAAGAGGCGTACTACTACAGAACGATCTTTGAGAGGTTATTCCCACAGGTAACTTGATAGTGTCCTGCCCTGCTGAAATCTAATACTAATACTTCTTTGTTCTACCTGTATGATATTTTTGTAGGATTGCTAACTAGATATTCCTCTTTTTTCCGCAGGTTTCTGCGATATTGACTGTCCCTGGGGGCCCAAGTGTTGCCTGCAGCACCGTGAAGGCCATAGAGTGGGACTCCCAATGGTCAAAAAACCTCGATCCCTCTGGTAGAGCTGCTCTTGGTGTCCACATCTCGGCCTTAAATCCACACATTCCTGCCTCTCTTACTGCTAATGTAGATGTAAGAGCTTCATGACTCCATCAATACCTAATGTTCTTGACTTCAGTTCATGATATAGCAGCATCTGTATTTTTGGTTTTTAGCTTTGTACATCTAAGTTCTTAACAGTACACGCAGTTGTATTTGAATGGAAAGAACTGAATAAATAAATTTATCATGTCTTTGATTATCCAACTTTGGTTACAAATACGCATAAAAGATTTTGTTCCAAGTATCTGGGACTCCAGGCAAGCACCAATGGATGCAGTCAGCATACTTTTTTGGGTTAGCCTTCTCCTCGGCTGTCAATACCTCCCCTGTAATCTCAGTATAAACTGTGGCATGCCCATCAATGCGGTACTCTGATAGCTGTGTTATATTGATGAAATTCACGGGGACTTTCATTCTTCCTACTACACTAGAAACCACTTCCATAAACCTTTTGTCTGATCCGCTTCCCCAGTATCCTCTCTTCATTACTGGTCTTGTCTCATTGTAGCATCGGATGCCATTCTTATGGTTCCAGTCTGCACTCCTGCAGTGCAAATGAATTCTCTTTTAGTATATGATGAAGCCTTTTCCTTTATTATACTGGTAGTAGTTGAGTAAAAGAATAGAAAACCTCATGTGTGTAGGGGACATTGTAGTAAAGAAAATTCTTGTAGTGTTCGGGTTTATAGTAGAGTCAACCCAATTAGCCCATGTCTTGAGGGCAAGCCTGTAAGCAACTACCGCATCGAGCTCCTCAAACCCTTCCAGATCGTTTGCAAATGAACCCCACCTTAAGAAAAATTGCATACATAATCACATTTAGAAAAATTGAGATTGTTTTCTATTGGTTTTCACTATAGCTGCATAAACTTACAGAGACTTCATTCTTAGACCACTCATCCACCATACGTAAGTATTGAACACTAGGATGTCAACTCCAATCCAGTGTTGTGCATGTTTCGAAATTGAATCTATTCTCAGTATTCTCTTTCTTGTATCTGTCACGATGTGAAGATCAGAGTTTGATTCAACAAGAAATGGCGCCCAGTAGAACTCGATTGTTGCATTGTATCCCTACAAAATTCAGAAAAATCTACAGTCAGAAAGTATTGATATTGTACTAAATTTACAGTCAAGTATTAAAAGTACCTTGGCGCTAAAGACTGAGAGGGGGCGACTTCTGTTCATGGATTTCTCTTCTGGTGGTATATGAGATTGGACAAGACATACAAATGATTGCCACTGCCCTCTCTGCAGTGAGTCTCCCACAAACATTAGCCTTTTCCCCCTAAGTTTCTCCAATACTGCTACAGGATCAAACCTGAAAGAATATCGAATTATTATGTTTCCGTGGTCCATAAGTACAACTATGACGATTAAAATTTATAATTACCTAGGCAAATTGCAGTCATCCAATTGCCACTCCCAATGGAGATAATCACTATCAGGCCTTCCATTCTTCGCACAGGACATTTGTGTATCCACATATGGGCATGTCTCATCTGTATAGGGTGGCTCAATAGAACTGTTGAATACCCACATACCCTTTGTAACGCTACACTCATTAGGATCGAAATCAATCTTATCTTCATCGATTGTATCATCACTAAGAGCGGCAGACCTTGCCTTCTCTTTCTCTTCTGATGAGTTGACATGCACATTTCATATCAAGTTCAGAATACAGTATTAGAAAATGTCATCAACTAAGACTAATGATGTGAATTACCTGAAACTTTACTAGAACAAGCTTTGAACTTAAAGATGGATATACCAGTGAGAGCCCGAAGATCCTCAGTGAATATCACACCAGCAAATGCGATGGCACAGATGACAATGACCATGATGGATAGTGGGAGCTTGCCTCTTGATATCTTCATTGGATAGATAGAATAAGGAGTGCTTCTCTAGTGTTTGAATATAGAGTTAGAACATAAGAGTGGTGGTGTAACTGAAATGATGATAAAGAGAAAAAAATAGAACGAGTGTTGTGGGGTATTATTGCTAATGTATGTTCTTTTTGGAGTAGGAGTGAAGTAAAAGCCATGTAGACTGATGATCCAACCACAAGTAATTATTTTTAAAAAGCGTTATTCTTCAACTACTGCCTCATAGTTTTCAAGCACATTTTGAGGTGTTTTTAGTGAGGTTGGAGGCTCATGATGCCGATTGAAAGTGGCATTTCTCCTCATTCCTTACCTTTTCTTCTGTTGATTCTCCCTTTGTATCGGATATTACACACACATCGTAGACACCAATTATTCAATTTCGAAAAGTGATTAATAGATGTATGGCCAACCTCGACAGCTAGTCATGTTTTTCTTGTTCAACAAAATGGCCTAGTTGCTATATAGGATCTCAACCTTTCAACATCAGTGATAACCATTAGGACACTTTTTCCCATATAGGTGATAAATAATTTTTAGTACGCAGATGGGTAAAATTTAATGATCTTTTGGTCTTATGTCCCTTTTATCGAACGATTAGGTTAATTTGGTCTACCTCAAAAAGATAAGTAGCCATTCTTATTGAACGATTAGGTTTACATTCTAGATACTTTGGTGATATATAATAATGATAGCAGAGCTAGTGTTATCATCTGATGAATAACTCTCTTTCGTAAAAGTATGTTCTCCTTCTCTACTTGTCTATAGCAGTTATGACTTCCTGGCCTCACTTAGAGCTTGTTACCGATAGGAATGTCAAAACAAAATTTTATGTAGCTCATATCTGCAAACTAAAACAAATGGTTGGGTTTGTTCTGGAGGTTAGGTGGGGCAAGGAGTATGGACTTTTTCCCTCTCTCTGTGTCTTTGTAAATCAATTCCTCCAAGCTTTCATCTCAACTAAATGCCCATATATGCAATTTAGGTACAGTGTCATTCCAATGTTTAAGCCACAGTGATAGCTTATGATCACAAGTTGCCATTATATTATAACTGTCGGGTGGTACGAAATGAGCCCCATGACACTTGAGTGGCATCAACAAGATTCAGTTAGGTACGGGTATCAGAGTTGAGAAAAGCATCTGGCTACCTAACATGTTTGCGATCTTTGAAACGGAGTAGCTCGAACACTGTCTTGTACGCGATACTGCTTTGAAATGGAGAATGAACTTCTGTCGGTTACTATAGATAATCATACTTCTAACCAGGTTGGGAAATTTAAAAATAGGAGCAAATCACTGAACAAGCGATTAAAGAAACACGAAACTTTGATGAGTTTGATCTGATTCAATGCTAGAGAGTCTTGGGTGTTGAGGATCGTCTGTTGGGAAATTACTCCGATTCCCTTAGTGCCAGATTTAAGAAAGAGCGAAAATTAAATGCGCAAAATTAAAACGCAAGAGCCAGCCCTACGTTCCAAATCTAAAATGCAAGGGCCGGCCCTAAGTTTCAAATCCAAAATGCAAGGGCTAACCCTACTGTCCAAGTCCAAAAATACAAGGGCCAGGCCTGCGTTCCAAACTCAAAACGCAAGGGCTAACCTTGTGTTCTAATTTCAAAACGCAGAGACCAAGACCCATGTTCTGGTTACAAAATGCAGCAACCAATCCCGTGTTTCATAATTAATGTAGAGGCTTGCCCTTACGTTTCCATCGGAAAAGAATGAGTTTTTCTCGTTGTTGACAACCTAGAACTCATCGTCTAGGGTTTGGAACTTGTTGAAACAAGTTATATGGTCCTCACTTACCATGGTGGAGAGGAACCTACGACGGCGGAGGCGCGGTCGCCTGAATAATAGCACCGCCGGTAGCCTCAACTGACGGATCGTCTGGAGCCGTCTTGACGACTCTCCTAGGCCTAAAAACAGTCTTCTTAAACCCCATTGAGGGTTGTTGTCAAAGAATTGATGAAGATCACCAGAGATCTTGAGGAAGAAATGAGAACTCTCGTTTGGGAATTAAGGAGAATGAGGAAGAGCTATGAAACTCTTGATGTGACCCATGTTGAGCTATTTATATAGTCGCCACCAGGTGTTTTTAGTGAGGTTGGAGGCTCATGATGCCGATTGAAAGTGGCATTTCTCCTCATTCCTTACCTTTTCTTCTGTTGATTCTCCCTTTGTATCGGATATTACACACACATCGTAGACACCAATTATTCAATTTCGAAAAGTGATTAATAGATGTATGGCCAACCTCGACAGCTAGTCATGTTTTTCTTGTTCAACAAAATGGCCTAGTTGCTATATAGGATCTCAACCTTTCAACATCAGTGATAACCATTAGGACACTTTTTCCCATATAGGTGATAAATAATTTTTAGTACGCAGATGGGTAAAATTTAATGATCTTTTGGTCTTATGTCCCTTTTATCGAACGATTAGGTTAATTTGGTCTACCTCAAAAAGATAAGTAGCCATTCTTATTGAACGATTAGGTTTACATTCTAGATACTTTGGTGATATATAATAATGATAGCAGAGCTAGTGTTATCATCTGATGAATAACTCTCTTTCGTAAAAGTATGTTCTCCTTCTCTACTTGTCTATAGCAGTTATGACTTCCTGGCCTCACTTAGAGCTTGTTACCGATAGGAATGTCAAAACAAAATTTTATGTAGCTCATATCTGCAAACTAAAACAAATGGTTGGGTTTGTTCTGGAGGTTAGGTGGGGCAAGGAGTATGGACTTTTTCCCTCTCTCTGTGTCTTTGTAAATCAATTCCTCCAAGCTTTCATCTCAACTAAATGCCCATATATGCAATTTAGGTACAGTGTCATTCCAATGTTTAAGCCACAGTGATAGCTTATGATCACAAGTTGCCATTATATTATAACTGTCGGGTGGTACGAAATGAGCCCCATGACACTTGAGTGGCATCAACAAGATTCAGTTAGGTACGGGTATCAGAGTTGAGAAAAGCATCTGGCTACCTAACATGTTTGCGATCTTTGAAACGGAGTAGCTCGAACACTGTCTTGTACGCGATACTGCTTTGAAATGGAGAATGAACTTCTGTCGGTTACTATAGATAATCATACTTCTAACCAGGTTGGGAAATTTAAAAATAGGAGCAAATCACTGAACAAGCGATTAAAGAAACACGAAACTTTGATGAGTTTGATCTGATTCAATGCTAGAGAGTCTTGGGTGTTGAGGATCGTCTGTTGGGAAATTACTCCGATTCCCTTAGTGCCAGATTTAAGAAAGAGCGAAAATTAAATGCGCAAAATTGGGGGACACGCAAGATTTACGTGGTTCGGCACAAAATTGCCTACGTCCACGGGCTGCTGCAGATCTTTCATTATGAAGAGAAATTTTACAACACTCAATTTTTTCTCACAACTCAATCCCACTCTGAAAATTGCTCACAATTTTCTCTCACAAAGACTTTTCTCTAAGCCTTTCTTTTCTCTCTCTTGTTCTTCTATAAGAGGAGTTGTTTCTGGAATGAGTTTTCCTTAAAAGTTTGGGGACCTATTTATAGTGTTTGGAAAGACACTATGCACTAATATTTTATTCTTTGACTAACAATCTCCCACTTGAAGACTGATTTCAATCTGTCTTCACATCTCGATCTATGCAGCAGCTCTTCCCGTCTTCATACTATTGCAGTCCAACTGAAGCTGAACACAGCTTCAGTTTGTCAATAGTCACCGTCTTTGTCAGCATGTCTGCCGGATTTTGAGCTCCACTGATCTTTTCAAGCTTCAAAATTCCATCTTCCAGAAGTGACCGGATAAAATGATACCGCATCTGTATGTGCTTCGTTCTGGAATGGAAAGACGGATTCTTCGCTAGATGAATAGCACTTTGACTGTCGCAGTATAAGACATTGTCTTCTTGTTTCTTGCCTAATTCATCCAAGAAATTTTGAAGCCACACCATTTCCTTGCTGGCTTCTGTAACAGCGACATATTCTGCTTCAGTTGTGGAGAGAGCAACTATCTTCTGCAGTTGAGAAGCCCAACTCACTGCAGTACCTCCTAGAGTATATACATACCCTGTAGTGCTCTTTCTGATATCAACATTTCCTGCTAGATCAGCATCTACATAGCCTGTTAGTATTGTATCTCCACCTTTGAAACAAAGTGCTTTACCTGTAGTGTCTCGTAGATATCTGAGGATCCACTTGACTGCTTCCCAGTGTACCTTGCCTGGATCATTCATATACCTGCTAACAGCTCCCACTGCTTGAGCAATATCCGGTCTTGTACAGACCATGGCATACATCAGACTTCCAATTGCTGAGGCGTACGGGACCTTCGCCATGTGTGCACGCTCTTCCTCTGTCTTCGGTGACTGTTCTTTAGAAAGTCTGAAATGAACACCTAAAGGTGTACCCACTGGTTTTGCATCTTGCATGTTGAACCTGGAGAGTACTTTGTTGATGTCTCAGCCTGTGATAACATCAAAATCCCAGACTTCGTGTCTCTCTTGATCCTCATTCCAAGAATCTTCTTTGCAGCACCAAGATCTTTCATCGCGAACTGTTTTGACAATTTCTGCTTCAAATTTATAATCTCTTGCAGATCTGATCCTGCAACGAGCATGTCATCAACGTATAACAATAAAATAATGAAGCTATTGTCAAACCTCTTGATATAGCAACAATGATCTGCTTGGCATCTAGTGAAACCGTTGCTGCCCATGAAGTTGTCAAACTTCTTGTACCACTGTCTGGGAGCTTGTTTCAATCCATACAAGCTCCATACTAGATTTTCCTTGCCTGCCTTTATGAAGCCTTCTGGTTGCTTCATATAAATCTCCTCCTCCAAATCACCATGAAGGAAAGCTGTTTTTATATCTAACTGCTCAAGATGTAAATTCTCAGCAGCTACAATTTTCAACACTAATCTGATTGTAGTTAGTTTCACAACCGGAGAAAAAATTTCATTGTAGTCGATACCTTCCTTTTGCTGAAAGCCTTTGACAACCAACCTTGCCTTGTAGCGTTTGTTCCCATCATGTTCTTCTTTGATCCTGTAAATCCATTTGTTATGAAGAGCTTTCTTACCTTGTGGTAATTCAGCTAAGTCCCATGTCTGATTTGACATGAGCGAGTCCATCTCATCTTGCATAGCAGACTCCCACTTGACTGAATCCTTCACCTGTATTGCTTCGTCA